GCATAAACTGAAGCACTGACCGCAGCATTGACCCAGGCCTTCATGGGCCTGAGCTGGGGTGGAGGGAGGTATGGCAGACCCCCCTACAAGGGGTACAGGACAATGTTTTGGGTATGGACAGACCGGATATCTCAAGAGGGAATGCCTGATAAAGGAAGGCAAGGTTAGGGCCTGCAACAGGGGACTGGGGGGAGGAAGAGCCCCAACCACCCCCTGTCTGCGGTGCCACAAAGGTTATCATTGGCAGGAGTGTAGGTCCAAATTTGATGTAGAGGGGAAGCCTTTAAACTAGATGTGGGGCATCCTCCAGCCCCATTATACCAAGGAGGCGAGAGAAAAGGAGCCCAGTATTGGGATCTAATCAGGCTCATGCCTTGGTGTCGGCCGGGTCCCCTAAGCCCAGAGCCAACTGGACTGTCCCAATAGTTTCAGGGCTAAGGCCAAAGATAGATATCATTATACAAGGGAAGAGATTCCACTGTCTCTTAGATACGGGAGCAGATAGGATGGTGCCGAGAAGGGAGGAAGTCCCTCCAGATTGGAGCCTAGTCCCAGGACCCCAGATATTGGGGGTAGGGGTAAATGTTAGGTCTGAGGAAACTAGGGAGTGGCTCAGCTGGCAGGATGAGGATGGGGCCCAGGGGAAGGTGCGCCCCTTGGTGGCCTCTGGGCTGTCTGCCAATCTTCTTGGACAAGATGTTCTGGGGGAAGCCCAGGTGTTTATCACCACTGCCATGATGACTTTTGGGAAGGCGATGAGCATGCTCGAGCATTTGGGGGGACTCCCGGAATGCCACAGGTGCACCCCCAAACCCAGGGGCCACTGTCCCCCAAGTGCCATCCATCCAGTGGACGCCCGGACTGCCGGTGTGGGTGGAGCAGTGGCCACTGCCCAAATTTAAGTTACAGGCCTTGAGACAAATTGTCCAGGAACAGGTGGAGCAAGGCCATCTTAGGCCCTCTATGAGTCCCTGGAATTCTCCAGTTTTTGTCACCAAAAAATCTTTGGGCGCATGGAGAATGTTGCAAGCAAGATCAATGCCTGGATAGTTCCAGTTGGGACCCCCTTAAAGGGGTTGCCCTGGATCCCTGCAATCCCTGCTGACTTGCATCTTATGGTTATAGACATCAAGGATTGCTTTTTTTCCATTCCATTGCACCCCTCAGACTGTGAAAAATTTGCCTTTTATATGAGTGGACCATCCTTCCCCAGGGCATGGCCAATAGCCCAGCGTTTTGTCAGGGCTATGTATGGGCTCTTTTGGACCCCGTACGCCAGTTACCACAAACCATCATACATATATATATATGGATGATATCGTCCTGGGGGCTCCTGACACCCAACAGTTGGGAGGCCTGTACAAGGCCATCCTGCTGTGCCTCCGAGAGGGGGGATTACATATATCTGATGAGAAGGTACAGACTGTATATCCTTTTAAAGTATTGGGAACCAGACTATTCCTAGATGGGGTTAGCCCTCTAAAGCCACAGTTGGATATAAAGTCTGACCTAATACTAACTGGGTTACAAAAATTATACCTACATGACTTTACTCACAAATTCCTATTAAGGACTTAAAGAGAATTGTGCGTGCCTGCAAGTAATGCCAACCCTATTTGCAGGTGCCGCCCCTGCAATGAGCAGGGGTTAATCATAGAGGACTTAAACCTAATGTCTTGTGGCAAACACATGTCACACATTACTCACCATTTGGGAAGTTAAAATATGTTTTGTGTCAACAGGTTAAAACTGATAATGGACCCTGCTTTGTTAGCAAGAGCTTGCAGGGCTTCTTTCTAACGCGGGGAATAATGGGGAGTCCAACATCAATCATCAATATCTAAAAACACAGTTACAAAAACAAAAAGGGGGAATAAGCCCCCACCAACAATTAGGCCTTGTAATTTTCAAAAAAAAAAAAAAATCAGTTGGAATCACAATTCCAAAAACATTGGGGTCTCCAGGAACAGAGGCCAGAGGTACGAGTAAAATGGAACGATACCTTAGCGGGACAGTGGAGAGGGCCAGATCCTCTGTTAACTGTGGGGCGAGGGTTTGGGTGTGTGTTCCCCATAGGGGATCCAAGACCCATATGGGTACCCGCTAGAGACCTCAAATTTTATTGTCAGGAAGAAGATGTCTCTGAGTAATCAGAGTCCACCACCTAAGAAGACAAATAAGGAAAAAAAAAAAAAAGAAAGGAGTGGTGGTTGTGCAATAGGCTCAGCAGGGTACTAACTGCTACCCGCAAAAGAGAAAAAAGAAGAAAAAGGAAACCGTAAAAATAATAAAACCCATGGGCCTAAGTGCCTTTGAGAAGATCTCTCACTTTTTTGTCTTGACAGGAAAATGCCCTGACCTGGGTGGACTGGACTCTTGGTCTTCGTGCTGATAGGCTTGACGATCATGCTCATGATCCTGACATTGATCCTCCTGGACCTGATGGAGAAACTTCAGAAGACCAACAAGACTCATTAAATAACTTTTGTCTCCAAAAGTTTTGTTTCCACGGGACCTCATGTTGTTGAGTGCTCATCAGCCAGACCCTCAGCTCCACAGGTCAGCCCCTTCCTTCTCCTCCTTTCCTTTTTGTCACGGACTGGCACCTCCCATGCGATGGCCCTCACCTAAGATCTAAGCATCCCATGCCAACGACGGGTAAGATCTCCTTCTGGCAAGTACTCCTAAGACAGGAAGTACACGTGGCCAAGTGCACTGACCAATAACAGGCAAGGCTTAGCCAGGAAGGAGACAATCTAAGACAGGCTGGGATGCTCGGCACATGGAAAGGGGCTAGCCGCCCATCCATAGGGCATCGCCTGACGGGTAGGCTGTGATTAGCCTGTTAAAGAAAAAGGAGATGTGGGGACCTAAAGGCCCCACCTTGCCAAGATGGCACCTAGAGGAAGTAAGCAGGACACGGCCTGACCTGTCCTGAAGATCATCGGATTGGGTACCGGTCCTTCCGCATCCCTGGGCAGTGCGTGATCAGCCCGTGACCAACATGGACACCTATGGGACCCTGCCCATGTGGCAGGTTGACCTTTAAGCTGATTGGGTGCATTCGGGGGAGGGGGTTTCCGAGGGGATTTCCAAACTGCATTTTTTGCCTACATAAGCTCTGTGACACCTGCAATAAATGAGTTCCTGCTTGACAAGACTCCCTGTTGCTTCTGATTGTCCTCAGGGAGGAGGGCTGGCGAAACGGGCAGACAGCGCACTTCACCTTTCCCTGACCCTCATTGCGGCAGGTCCCTCCGGGGCAGGACCTTGGTGCGGATCCCCGCAACCTCCTGCCCCCCCCCCAAGTACTGAGATTATAGGTGTCATCACACTTGGCTGAAATGAATATTCTAATCTGATATCGCCAACTAGATACTTGGTCCCATCACTTGAAAGTTCCCGAAACTCTGTCACATTTAAGGAAGGCTTCTAATGGAGTAAGAAATGCTCAGTCGGGGATAGTGGCAGCCCTCGGGAGGCAGAGGAAGGCGGATCTCTGTGCCTGGTCTACATATCAAATTCCAGACCAGCTGGGGCTATAGGGAGACCCTGTCTCAAAGACCAAAAGGAAAAGAAAGAAAAAGAATGAAAAGAAATGCTCAGAGTCTGCGAGACTAGACCTCATTCTAATGCTTGCCTGCTACAGCTTTATAGACATGGAGTGATCATTCTGACCTTGCAAGGTGCTAATGATGACATAACATTTAGGAAAACACCTAGCATTTTGTAGGAGTGTAACATTTCTTTGATGTTCTTATTTTAAAATTTGAGTTTTGTGACAGGGTCTCATTATGTCCACAGGCTAGCCTGAATTCGCTATGTAACTTAGGCTAGTCTTGAACTCTCAATCCCCCTCTCCTAGCCCTAAGTGCTAGGATTATAGACATGTACCATTCTCCTGGGCTTCAAGAACACCAAAAGGTGGGAGGGGGGGGTTACAAACTTATTTGCAAGAAATAAAAGACAAAAGATGAATATTCTTAATATTTCATTTTATTGAATATTTTATTTATTATTTTTACTGTGTATGAGTGTATTTCCTGCGTGTAGGTAAGTGCACCCATGTGGTGCCATGCCCGCGGAGGACAGAAGAGGCCGTCTGATCCCCTGGAACTGCAGTTATGGACAGTTGTTAGCTGCCATGTGGGTGCTGGGATTCAAACCCAGGTCTTCTTTAAGAACAACCAGTGCTCTTAACTGCTGAGCCAGCTCTCCAGCCCCTAATATATTTTTTAAACTTATAAATTAGTAAGAAAAAGCGGTTTAAACAATGATGCATCACTTTTCACGTACTAAAACGGTAGAAATAACTAATGTAATACCCAAAGAGACAGGGTACTGCCACTTCCATACACTACTTAGAGCAAATTGGCAAAATAGCAGTATTTTCTTTTTTTTCCGGTCTTTTTGAGACAGGGTCTCCCTGTAGCCCCAGCTGGTCTGGAACTCACTATGTAGATCAGGCTGGCCTTGAACTCAGAGATCCCCTGCCTCTGCCTCCTGAGTGCTGGGATTAAAAGGAGTGCGCCACAACGCCCGGCTATAAAATAGTTTTAAAAAAAGAAAAAAATGCTGGGCATGGTGGCACACGCTTGTAGTCCCAGCACTTGGAAGGCAGAGGCAGGCAGATCTGTGAGCTTGAGGCCAGCCTGATCTACATAGCGAGTTCCAGGCCAGCTGGGGCTACAGGGAGACCCTGTCTTAAAAAACAAAAACAAAAACAAAATAAAAAATCCAATTTTGATCAAGAAAATCCAGTTACTTAGAGTTCAGCTTCACTTGGACCACAGATGCTGTCATTTTCTTCTCTTCACCCTATTCTCTATTTCGAATATGCATCATACATACTTTTAAAATAAGGAGAGAACAAAGAAAACTACACTTTCTTCCATTTTTAAAAATATTTTATTTTTATTTTATGTGTATGAGTGTATTGCCTGAATGTATGTGAGTGCACCCATGTCATGCAATGCCGTGGAGGTCAGAAGAGGGCTTCAGATTCCCCTGGAAATGGAGTTAAGGACAGTCATAACTGCCATGTGGGTGCTGGGAATCGAACCCAGGTCCTCTGCAAGAGCAGTCAGTGCTCTTAATCGCTGAGCCAACTCTCCAGCCCCATTTTAACTGGCTCCATCATACCAAGTCTCAATTAGAGCTGTGCATGCTTGGCCTGAGACAATAAATGAAACTCAGTTGTATGGTTTCCATGTATTTCAGACTCTTTTCTAGAACTAAAGGTTAACCCATTAACCCAAAATTAAAATATCTTTACAAAATCAGTCATCTACTTTGCCTGTCATCTCTCAGCAATTTACAAATCTGCTCCAAGCTTACAATACAATTTCACCAAGTTGGTCCCATTCTTCGCTAGTGGCCAGCCTGATGCAAGGCATGTTTAGCTACAAACAACTCTGCTGATTGTCCCTGCAACATTTTCATGGCTCGCCAATAGATCTGTCCACAGTTCTCAGGTCTACCAAAGGGATGGTTCAATTCTTCTTTGATGTAATCCATCCAAAGATCTTTAAAAGAACAACAAAAAGATTACTGTAAACATAATTAGACAGCTGAGAAGGCTTTATTAGGCAAACAATACTGTCAATTTAAAATTTCTAAGAAACATAACTCCTTGTTACATCTCTAGTGCCCTATATAAAATACTATCTTTTACTTCTTTACACTAACATACAGGAAAGAGGAGAAAACCTTCACATTAATCAAGGCAGCTTACATCAATTAACTAACTAAAAACTGTAAATTATTTTTTACCATTTTAAATTTTTATTAATTTGTATTTTATGTGTATGACTTTTGCCTCCATGTATGTAAGTGCCCTGCATGCATGCAGTGCCTGTGGAGGTCAGAAGAGGGCATCAGATCCTATGGAACTAGAGTTACAGACAGCTGTGAGTCATTATGTGGTTGCTGGGAAATGAACTCAGGTCTTCTGCAAGATCAGCAAGTGCTCTTAACTGCTGAGTCATTTCTCCAGCCCCCGAAAAAGCCCTTTTCAAACGGAAATGTTTTGCTGAGTTTCAAACCAGTTTACCTCCATTAATTCATGATCACCTTATTACTATGCTTAACACAATTCATCTGGGTTAATAAAATGCTGCCCTCAGTCACTTCATAAAGGTCTGTTGAAAACCAGCAGAGCTACTTTTATAAATGTCAATTTAACAGCTTTACAGTTCAGTTTATGAGTTCATACATAAAGCACCACATTTTACATGCCATAAATATGCCTATAAGAATGCTGTGTGGGTCCTAAAAATGAAGGCAATATGACAGCCAATGACAACAAAGGCCAATTAGTATCCCATGTTTACATCTGTGCTGTAACTTTCATTCTTTTTTTTAACCTACATTTATTATTGTTATTATTATTATTAATTATGTAGCCCTGACTGGCTGGCCTTGAACTCACATAGAGGTCTACATGCCTCTCCCTGCCCAGTGCTGAGATTAAGACAAGCACCATCACACCCGGCTCTTCATTTCTTCCTGGTGAAAACTTTCAAACCCCTTTCCTCTACATTTTTTAAATACACACATCATCGGTCACCCTTGCCACTTGCAACAGCATACTTCCCTGCCTTATCTATCATAACTGTATTTACTGTAACACTCACTCCTCCTCCCTGCTCCTTTCTTCCTACTATAGCTGCTCTGACTACTAAAGGTACACGCCTTTAATCCCAGGACTCGGGAGGCGGAGGCAGAGGCAGGCAGACCTCTGTGAGTTCAAGGCCAGCCTGATCTACATAGTGAGTTCCAGGACATCTGGGGCTACAGGGAGATCCTGTCTCAAAAAGACCAAAAAAAAAAAAAAAAAAAAAAAAACAGACATAGCTAAAGCGCTAATTGGAGGGCTGGGGAAGAGAGCTCCAAAAGGCTATATATGCTTTGAATCAGTGTCCAATATATGGTACTGTTTCCCTTAGAGCCAGGATTCATGGGTGCAGAGGGTGGAAATGGGAACAGTGCCTCTCATTTTCACCTCTAGTTGCCCACTAGAAAAATTTTTGCTTCCATTACCCAAACTTTGTGTTCTGCAGGCACAGGTCCACAACTAGAAGTTTTGGTTCCAATGAGAGGAATCCTTCTACATAAGAAACATTACATTGAACTGGAAGCTAAAACTTCCTCTGACCACTTTGAGCCCCTGATGCCTTAGAGTCAACCGGTTTGAAGAGTAACCATGTTAGGAAGCGTGATTGATCTAGACTACTGGGGGAAATTGGACTGCTTATCCACAATGAAAATCAAGAACAACAGATCAGGAATGCAGGAGAGCCTGTAATTAAGGTCAACAGTAAACTACAACAACCCAATCCGAATAGGATAATAACCAGCCTAGACCTTCAAGAACAAAGGTATGGGTCACCTCTCCAGGTGAAGAACCAGGACCCTTTGAAGTGCTTGCTTTGAATAGAGGCAGTAGAGAATGGTAGTAGAGGTAGTTATAACTATCAGCTAAGGCCATGTGATCAGTTACAGAAACAAGGATTGCAATTGACATGCATATTTTTGTCCTATTAAGAACATGCTTGTGCATACCCTAGGTAAACGTGTTTCTTCTATTTCTTTAACATGTAATGTAACATCAATTGAGATGTTAGCAATTGAATGTTTTAAGTCTGTATTATTATATTTAAGTTATGGGATATTAACAAAGTAAGCATTCCTCAAGAGACTTTGCTATCCAAGGTCTTGGGAGCCCAGATTACTTCCGAAGCTCCAGATGCTGGTTATTGGAGCTGCAAAATTCAGTGTTCTCTCTGCTGAATTTGCTTTTGCTTTTGCTGTGATTGTGCATTTACAATATTTTTCTCTTGGAATAAGAACTCCTACTTAGCCTGGCGTGGTGGTGCACACCTTTAATCCCAGCACTTGGGAGGCAGAGGCAGGCAGAGCTCTGTGAGTTCAAAGCCAGCCTGGTCTACATAGTGAGGTAAAAAAAAAAAAAAGAATGCCTACTTGGGGGGCTGGAGAGGTGGCTCAGTGGTTAAGAGCACTGACTACTCTTGCTTTTCTGGTTCCCAGCACCCACATGGCAGCTAACAACTGTTTATAACTCCAGTTCCATAGATCCGATGCCTTCTTCTGACCTCCTCAGGCACTGTACAATATGGGTGCACTTACATACATGCAGACAATACACTCATACACATAAAATTAAAATAGTATATTTTTTAAAAAAGAATGACTAGTTGGTACAATAATATGTTGAAAGTATGTAATTTGTTTTATATAGTCATAGGAACTTATAGTTAAGAGATTTGAGACTTAAAGCATTGGGGGTTTAAAGAGGACTTCTGATTTTTAGATTTTAAATTTTAAATTAATTAAATTTTTATTAAACAGATTAAATATCCACAACATTTTACAGTACGAAATAAACATGAGACTTGGAGGGTAAGGGTAGAAGACTATGGTTTTTATTTATTTATTTAGATTTTATGTATGAGTGTTTTGCCCACATATATGTAAGAGCACCACATGTGTGCAATGCCCATGGAGGTCAGAAGAAGGTATATCCTGGAACTAGAGTTATGGACAGTTGTTAGTTACCATGTGGGTGCTGGGAACTGAACCCAGACTCTCTGCAAGATCAGCCACTGCTTTTTTAAAAAATATATTTTATTTATTATTTTTATTTTATGTGTATGAGTGTATTGCCTACATGTATGTGAGTGCACCCGTGTCACGTAATGCCTCAGAGGTCAGAAGAGGGCTTCGGATTTCCCTGGAACTGGAGTTAAGGATGGTTTGTAGCCATCATGTGGGTGCTGGGAATTGAACCTGGATCCTTGGTAAGAGCAATCAGTGCTCTTAACCACTGAGCCATCTCTCCAACCCCTCAGCCACTGCTCTTAACCACTAGCCAACTCTCTAGCCTCCCCCGCAAGTTTATGTTTTTTTTGGTTTTTGGTTTCTTTTTTAATGTGTATGAGTATTTTGCCTCCATGTATATAAGTGCACCCATGTCATACAAAGGGTGTCAGATCCCCTGGAACTGGATTTATAGATGGCTGTTAGCTCCCATGTGGGTGCTGGGAACTGAACCCCAGTCCTCTGCAAGAGTAGCCAGTGCTCTTAACTGCTGAGCCACCTCTCCAACCCCAAGGTTACAGTTTTTAAAATAATCTGGGGGGAGAGGGGGGGTGTAGTAGACAAAGGGTAAACTGCAATGGTTGGTTTTAATGTCAAATTGTCAAATTAGAATCACCTGAGAGCCTCAATTGAGGAATTTTCATAATTGCTTTAATTAATATAGGAAGACCCACCCCAAATGGGGGCAGCACCTTCTGGTAAAAGTCCAGATAAAAAGGAGCTATGGCAAAAAGCATGTAGTTGCTGATTCCTTTCCTGATACCAGGTTTCCATCATTGACCAGCAGCTCTCCATGAACCCTCCAGGTTGATAGCACCAAATTAGAACTGCTGAGGCACCCAGTCCCGTAGCCTGAGCAACCACTAGGTTATTAGCCTCTCCAGTGGAGAGAGCCGCTGTGGGACTACTCTGACTGCTGAGGTACCCAGTCTTGAGGACCAAGAAACTACCAGGCTCTCAGCTTCTCAGGTGTGATCCTGCTGTTGATATTATTTCATATATATTCATGAGTCCCTATGCCCAGTAAAAATAATTTTCTTTACACTTATTTACTTTATATTATGTGTGTATATGTTAGAGGACAATGTGTGGGAGTTGTTTCTCTCCTTCCACTATGTAGGTTCCAGGGATCAAACTCAGGTGTCAGGCTTGAAATCAAGCACCTTTAACTACAGTCATTTCACTGGCCCAAATGACTGGGTTTTTTTTTAAGAAACTCAAACCAGGGCTGGGTATGGTAGTTCAAGCCTTTAATCCTAGCACTTGGGAGGCAGAGGTAGATCTCTGTGAGGTCAGGGTCAACCTGGTCTACATAGTGAGTGCCAAGCTAGCCATGGCTACAAGGAGACAGGGAGACCCTGTCTCCAAAACAAAAACAAAAAAGGTTTAAGATGGACATAACTCTTTTGTGCCAAAACACAAATACTCAAAAGAAAAAAGTCCTTAGCATGGGCAATAGAACCTTAACTGTTTATTTCTTCATTTAAAAAAAAAAGAGACCCTTGGGGCTGGAGAGATGGCTCAGTGGTTAAGAGCAGTGCTGCTCTTGCAGAGGACCCGGGTTCGATTCCCAGCACCCACATGGCGGCTATGAACCGTCCTTAACTCCAGTTCCAGGGGAATCCAAAGCCCTGAAGCCCTCTTCTGACCTCCGCGGCATTGCATGACACAGGTGCACTCACATGCAGGCAATACACTCATACACGTAAAAATAATAAGTAAAATTGAAAAAAAAAAAAAGAGACCCAAATGAACCAAATCTTTCTGATTCAGAGTTAAGAGAAGAATCAGTAGATACCAGGATTTATAAACTTAAATTATAAGTGAAATTGTGTGTCCAAGTATATATGCACAAAACAAGCTAAGGAGGCAAGGGAAAGACTGAAGTGTTATTCTAAGAGAGGCCTATGGTACAAAAAGAAACAGTGTTCTAACCAAACTAATAGGTCACAGACTATATAAGCCAACTCATGTCTGTAACTGAAGTTCACTTACCAGAATCTGTAGATCCAAACTCTCTCAAAGCCCTCTCATAATATTCTCTCAAGTTTGCCATCTTACAGGATTCCTAACAAATATAATCAGAAGCTCTTACCTCAGAAGTCTAATTCATAAAATAACAAATTTACTTTAACTATATATATATATATAATTTATTTATTTATTTATTTTTTTGGTCTTTTTGAGACAGGGTCTCCCTGTAGCCCCAGCTGTCCTGGAACTCACTACGTAGACCAGGCTGGCCTTGAACTCAGAGATCCACCTGCCTCTGCCTCCTGAGTGCTGGGATTAAAGGCATGCACCACCACGCCCGGCACTTTAAACTATATTTTAAAATATTTTATTTATGTATGTATTTTTGTGTATGAATGTACTACTTGCATGTATGTAAAGATACACCTGTGTCATGCAATCCCCTGGAACTGTTGTTATGGACAACTGTTAGCTGCCATATGGGTGCTGGGACTCGAACCTGGGTCCTCTGCAAGAATAGCCAGTGCTATTAACCACTGAACCATCTCTCCAGCCCCTTTAACTGCATTGTAAGCAACACTTGAAAGCTTTGCCAAATAAGTAGGATTTAAATGAAGAAATAAATGGTGATGGTTCTACTGCCTGTGCTAAAGACATGAGTGTCTGTGCTTTGGAACAAATGAGTTATGTCCATCTTAAACCTTTTTTTGAGATAGGGTCTCCCTGTAGTTCCAGCTGGCCTGGAACTCACTATGTAGAGCAGACTGGCCTTGATCTCACAGAGATCTGCCTACCTCTGCCTCCCAAGTGCTAGAAGTGTGCCACCATGCCCAGCCCTTGATTACCATTCTTAAACAAGTTCTATGAAAGCGTTGAACCAAGGCAACAGGAGTTTATACTGTAGTATATAACAAGTATTTTAAAATAACAAGATGCTGGGCTGGAGATGGGGGACTGGGTGGGCCGACAGGAGCTGGACCAGTTATGTTTAACTTTTTCTGGAGAGATGGCTCAGAGGTTAAGAGCACTGGCTGCTCTTGCAGAGACCCAGGCTGGTTCCAAGCACTTACATGGCAGCTAACTGTCTGGAACTCCAGTTTCATTGGATGTAATGCCCTCTATTGGTCTCCACAGATATTGCATGACAGGGGTGCACTTATATACATACAGGCAAAACACTAAAATAGTCATACACATAAAATCAAAATAAATACATTTTTTAAAAATTTACAATTTGGGGGGCTGGCGAGATGGCTCAACAGTTAAAAACACTGGCTATTCTTGCAGACCAACTGGGTTCAAATCCCAGCACCCACATGGCAGCTAACAACTGTAACTCCAGTTCCAGGAGATCTGACCCTCTCTTCTGTCATCCTGGGGCATTGCACAAGACAGGTGCACTTACATACACGCAGGCAATACATGCATACACATAAAATAAAAAAAATTTTTTTTAATTTTAATTTAAAATTAGGAGCTGGAGAGATGGCTCAGTGGTTAAGAACACTGGTTGTTCTTGCAGAAGACTTGAGTTCGAATCCCAGCACCCACATGGCAGCTAACAACTGTCCATAACTCCAGTCCCAGGGGATCTGACAGCCTCTTCTGACCTCTATGGGCATTGCATGACGTGGGTACACTTACCTACATGCAGGCAATACATGCATACACATAAAATAAAAATAAAATAAAAATAATAAAAATTTTTTAAAAATTTTAAATCCAAGCAGGGCATGGTGGCACATGCCTTTAATCCCAGCATTGGGGAGGCAGAGGCAGGCAGATCTCTGTGAATTCAAGGCCAGCCTGCTCTACATAGTGAGTTCCAGGTCAGCTGGGGCTACAGGGAGACCCAGTCTCAAAAAAGACCAAAATAAATAAATAAAAATAAATAAATAAAACCAAGCCAGGCATGGTGGCTCACACCTTTAACAATAATAAAAGATTAAAAATTAAATAACAATTTTAAAACAAATTCAAGATGCTGTCAAAGAGTAGTAACCACTAACCAACTTTTCCTGACAAGAAATGTTTCACTTACTTGTTCCTTTTCAAACTGCATCATCTTCCTGAAAAATTCAACTGAAAATGGGCGGCTTTCATGTAAACTAGGAGGAGAAGGGAGAACGTTATCCTCCACAATGACAGAAAGCCTTTCACAACTCAAACATCAAGAACTAACCATGAAGAACTACAACAGGTGGTTTAACAAAGACTTGGCTTCAAGTCATAGCAAAACTGGACCTGATGGTGTCACGATCATGACTCAGTGAACATGTTCAGTGTCTAGTGACTTACTCTACCACCATCCTTAAACTCATTCCCACTCATATTTTTGTTGTTGTTGTTCGTTTGTTTGATTTGTTTTTGAGACAGAGCTTCTCTATATTATGCTGGCTGGGCTCAAATGCCTGGGCTCAAGTGATATCCTTGTCTCTTAAGTGTTCAGATTATAGACATGTACCACACCTGACTCCATATATCTATTTTTTTTTTGAGACAGAGTCTCACTACAAAGCCTTGGTTGGCCTGGAACTCACTATGTAGACCAGGCTGACCTCAAACTCTATTTTTTGTTGTTGTTATTTTTTGTTTTTGGTCTTTTTGAGACAGGGTCTCCCTGTAGTCCCAGCTGTCCTGGAACTCACTATGTAGACCAGGCTGGCCCTGAACTCACAGAGATCCGCCTGCCTCTGCCTCCCAAGAGCTGGGATTAAAGGTGTGTGCCACCACGCCCGGCTCAAACTCTATTTTTAATAAACGCTGTTTATGATTAATTTTTACTGAAAAGGGAAAAAAACCAGTCTAATGTTCATTAATAAAAATGGTATTCAAAATAGTGGTTATGGCTAGGCGTGGCAGCCCACACCTTTAATCCTGGCACTTTGGAGGCAGAAGCAGGTGAATCTCTGTGAGGCCACTCTGGTGTACATAGCCAGTTCCAGGTCAGCTGAGATTACAGGGAGACCTTGTCTCAAAAAGACCTAAAAAACCCCAAAAAACTGAGGCTGGAAAGATGGCTTGGTAGTTAAGAGCACTAGCTGCTCTTGCAGAGGACCTGGATTCAATTTCCAGCACCCACATGGTGGCCAACAAGTATCCCAAACTCCAGTTCCAGGGGATCCGACGCCCTCTTCTGACCTCTTTGGGCATTACATGACACAGGTGCACTTACATACATGCAAGTAATACACTCATACACATAAAATAAAAATAAAGAAATATATATATACTAATAGGTTGTTCTATTAATGATACAATGATCAACAACAATGAATGACATATCACTTTCTCTTTACTTTTCAAAATGAAAAAAAGAAAGACCTTTCTAAGAGTCTCTTCATTACTCCCTCAGATACTATTTGTAATACATATAATGTGGATATGAGGGGCTGAGTATGGGCAAAAAGACTAGAAACAGCAATGAATGTCTGCGATACCTTTTAAACACAGCTCTGGCCTTTTTGTAGCCACCACTTCGATAAGCCCAATCCAGGTATTTCTCCTTCAGAGTTATTGAATTGGCACCCGTAACAGCTAAAATAGCTTTCTATCATTTAAAAGAAAAAACAAGCCACGTAAAGGAATTTATAGATATCAAACATATTCTCCAAGACCCACCCCAGCCCATTCAATAGTGATTTAGGAACATCTGCTGATGAAACACCCATTCCCTGAACCAAAAGGTAGAGAACAGGAAGCCTGTACCTTAAAGATCATCTCAGTGTCCTCTTGGCTTTTGGCACCTTCACTCCACTCTGCCCAAGAAATCCACAAGGGTAGACAAACCTGCTCACAATACAATAAAATAAAAATGTTAGAAAATGACTGCTCAGCACCAAGCTCTGACTACACCTCACTATAAAGACAGGTTCCTAAGATAATCAGTATGTAAAATATTCATTTCTAGTCTATACTAATTATGAGTGTTCTCACTGCCCAGCAGGAAGAACATGCCAGAACACATAGACTCCTAGCCAAGTCATTCAGAGCAACACTCTCTTGATAACTGAGTCCAGTTCTGGTGGGAAATACTGACTGTAGTTATCATTATCAATCATCTTTCAGTTAAGTAAACAGTTGAAAGCCCACAGGTACCCAGGTCATGTCTCCTGGTCTGGGAGCATAACACAAGAACTAGTCTAGGCTGACTTGTTTGATTTTTACCCATGGAGAAAGGCAAACAGAAAAAAGCAATAAAATAGTTTTTTCCCATTTTGCTTTCTAGAATACATTTTCCCTATTAATATGAAAGATTTACTGCAAAGTAGGATTTAGAACGTTAAAGTCCAAAAATTTTTTGTGATTATAAATTGGGTTTATGCTGGGCATGGTGGTGCATGCCTTTAATCCCAGCACTTCAGAGGCAGAGCCAGGAGGATCTCTGAGGCCAGCCTAGTTTATATAACAGGTTCCAGGCCAGCTGAGACTACAGGGAGACCCTGTCTCAAAAAGACCAATAAAAGTAAATAAATAAATTGGGTTTACAATTAGATGTGGATGCAAGTAAGATATTCTATTAGTATTTCTCACTTGTAAGATACTTAAACAAAGCCAGAAATTTTATACAATTCAGTAAATTTGAAAGGATTAGAAACAGGCTATTAAACTGAAGTAAGTTTTTCTACTCAACACTTGAACCATTAGCATTTAATAACAAACACTACTCTAGAGTTTGTTCTCATCAGACAACCATATTACAAATGAACTTTCACTTTTAAAGTCTTAAAAGCTTTCCCAAAAAGAGGGCTGGAGCGATAGCTAGGTTGACAGAGTGCTTGCTTAGCTCACACGAAGTCCTAGATTCAATCCTCAGCATCACATAACCCAGGAACTCAGGAGGTGGAGACAGGAGAATCAGAAGTTCAAGGTCATCCTTACCTATGTATAGCTAGCCTGGGCTACAGGAGACCCTCAAAAATAGAATGAAATATGAAAGACCCAATTCACAGACCTGGGGTTTCAGGTGTGCAAAGGCCTCTTCAAAAAGCATGGCTATGTCAGGGCTCTTTGAGTCAATTAGCACCTTCAGTTTCATCTGCCACAGTGTCACAGAGTCCTTCAATAATTCAGTCCCAGCCTCTGCCACCTGTAGAGCTTCTGTAAAGAAGTTATGGCACAGCAGCAACTCAATCTAAATAAGAAAAAGCATCACTGTAAAACTCATTACTTGAAACCTACATTACAAAAAGAAACAAAGACTATTTGAGGCAATAATTTTAACAGCTTTCCCACCAAACTTTTTTAGTATTTTTTAATATTTTATTTATTATTTTATGTGTATGAGTATACTGCCTGCATGTACGTGAGTGTACCTGTGTTGTGCAATGCCTCAGAGGTCAGAAGAGGGCTTCAGATTCCCCTGGAACTGGAGTTAAGGACGGTTCGTAGCTGCCATGTGGGTGCTGGGAATCAAACCCAGGTCCTCTGCAAGAGCAGTCAGTGCCATCCAAGCCATCTCTCCAGCCCCCGCCCCAAACTTTTTACCACAGCTGCTAAATAGGCACAAAGGGAACAATCTGGAACAATGTGGAATTCCTCCTCTTTCCCTGCTCCTATCCATAGGACTATCAAAAGGTCAGAGGGCTGACGAGATGGCTCAGCAGGTAAGGAGGCTTGCTGCACAAACCTGACAACCTGAGTTCAATCTCTGAATCTCAGAGCAAGGAGAGAACCAACTCTCAAAGACTGTTCTCTGATCTCCACACATGTGCCATGACATATGTGTACACACCAGTATATAGTAATAGTAATTTTTAAATCAGAGAAGAGACGAAAGCAGACAGCCTAAATAATTAAAGCTGGAACCCACATGCATCAGAATATAATAAAGATTAAACACAGTATTTGTAGCCAGCAGTGGTGGTACATGCCTTTAATCTCAGCACTCAGGAGGCAGAGAGGCGGGAAGAGATGAGATCAAAATCAACCTTGTCTACACAGCAAGTTCTAGTCCAGCCAGTGAGACACAGTGAGACCCTGTCTCAAAACAAACAATTTGTAGACAATAAGGAAATATGTACATTCCTTCTTCAGAGCACTGGAATTACAGGCAGGCCACCATGCCCATCTGACATTTACATGGGTGCTAGTCCTCACACTGGTGCAGCAAATGCTTTACCCAATGAACTATCTCCCCAGCCCTCCACTTTGTTTTGAAACAAGGTCTCTCACTGAACCTCAAGCTTATCTATTCAGCTAAGCTGGCTCATCAATGAGCCCCAGGGACCTACCTGTCTCCACCTCCCCACCACTGGGATTACAGGTGCATGTTGCCACACCAAGCTTTCATCTAGACTTAGGTCCTCATGCTTGTACAGCAAAAACTTTATCAACTGAGCCAACTCCCCAGCCCCAATTTCTCATTTTAAAATATTACTGTGTGGAGAATAACCTGGAGAAAGGATGGGTGGATATAGAATCACTAGACATTTAAATTTAATGGCAGCATGTTGAGGGGCTCTTATTAAAAGCAAGGTCATCAGCCAGGCATGCTAGTGCATTCCTTTAGTCCTGGCACTCAGGAGACAGAAGCAAGTAGATCTCCATGAGATTTAGGCCAGTTAGGTCTATGTAGCAAGCTCCAGGCCAGCTGGGGCTACAGAGACACCCTGTCTTGAAGGAAGGAAAGGAAGAAGGGAAGGAAGGGAAGAAAGGAAGGGAAAAAAGCAAGGTGATCCATGGATTGCTGAGATAGTGGACACAGAGCAGTAATATAATGTCAGAGATTTGAGTACATACAATGTTTGCAATACCCAGAGGTGTGACTGGCAAAAAAAAAAGGTATTAGAAGAAGAGCAGGACTCTCAAGGCAATACTCAAAGGTTTCTGATATTATAGGATGTGAGCAACTTGCCAGCATTCCATAACCCAAGAAGAGGCAGCTGAAATCATTCAGATTTTTGAGATTTTTTTTTCCAAGACAGACACATAATATATACATAGTATATTATAAAAGGCTACATGATATAGTATATGGTATGTAAACATAATTGGGAAAGTGTTAATGTTAAAAAAGAATACAATACAAAATAATAAAACACTAATTGCAATCAAGTAAAAGTAATATTGAACAAAAAAAAAAAGAAGTCATATAAATAAGATACTCAGGACTGAGGAGATGACTCAATCCTTAGTTCAGTCCCTAGCACCCACATAAAAAGCTGGGAGTGGTGGCACATGTTTGGAATCCCAGAACTGGGGAGGTAAAGACAAGGAAGATCCCTGAGGCTCAGTGGGCAGTCAGCCTAGCCTAATTAGTGAGCATCAAGCTCAAATGAGAGACTTGGTCTTAAAAAACAAAGTCGGGATGCCGGGCGTAGTGGCGCATGCCTTTAATCCCAGCACTCAGGAGGCAGAGGCAGGCAGATTGCTGTGAGTTCAAGGCCAGCCTGGTCTACATAGTGAGTTCCAGGACAACTGGAGCTACAAGGAGACACTGTCTCAAAAAGACCAAAAAAAAAAAAACAAAGTCGGGGCAGGAAAGATGGCTCAGCAGTTAAAGAACACTGACTGCTCTTGCAGAGGACTCAAGTTTGATTTCCAGCACCCACATGGCAGCTAACACCTCCACCCTCTTCTGACCTCTGCAGGCACTGCACTGACACTAGTACACAGGCAATAAAATAGAAATAATAAATAAAATTAAAAAAAAAAAAAAGTGGATAGCACCTAATGAATGACACCCAAGGTTGACCTCTGGCACGCACTTACATACACCGACATGCACACACCCAGACTTTTGGTTTTGCCCAATAAATGTATGTAAATAGATTAATCTACTCAGTAACTCATGAAATACTTTAAACGGCTTTGTAAAATAAAAACAAGGTCTACTATCACTACTTTAAAATTGAGTAAGCTGGGGTTGGAAATGGCTCAGTGGTTAAGAGCAGTGGCTGCTTTTGCAGGGGACCTGGGTTTGATACACAGCACCCATATGGCAGCGAACAACCATCCATAACTCCAGTTCCAAGGGAATCTGATGCCCTCTTCTGACCTCTGTGGACACTGCATGACACAGGTACATACATTTACATACAGGCAGGAAATACACTCATATATACACAAGAAAATTTTTTTTTAATATTTTTTTTAAAGGCCAGGTGTGGTAGCGCATGCCCTTAGTCTCAGCACTTGTGAGGCAGAGGCAAGGTGGACTTCTGTGAGTTCAAGGCCATAACTCCAGTTTCAGGGGATTCAACACCCTCTTCTGTCCTCCTCAAGCACTGCACGACTCAGGTACACTTATATACATGCAGGCAATACACGCATACACATAAAATAAAAATAAAATAAAATATATGGCACTGGAACAACAATAAACCAGAACAGAGAGGAAGCTGGCAGTGAATGTGCTTTCATGGCCTTACCCACTGCTTGTACTGAACTTCAGAAAGGAACTTCAGTTCATGTGCCTTCCGGAATGCAAGCATGGTTCTTTCCAGCCTCTGAAATCAGAAAGATCTCTCAGTTCATTCATAAGATCACAGTGGGACTCATCCACTGATCTGAGCAAAAGCAGTATATTGCATCTGAGAATTCAGAATGGGACTGAGTTGTTCCTGCATGAGATGAACTAAGCACCAGCACCTGGCACAGTCCAATCATCAGAAAGTCCCTCCTACTCCAAGTGCAGGAAAGGGCAAACCAGACTAGACTTTCAGAATGACAGGTCATCCACCAGTAAAAAGTAAATGATTAAGCATGAAATTCTGGAAGCTGGTCCAGAACCCAAAAGAATTTCAGAAGACAGGCACTTTCTAGCCAGTCACTGTTACCATGCAACCTAGGTCCTTACCTTCCCTCTGAGGGGCACACTACTGGTCTTCTTAGAAAATCTTTCTAAGCAGAAGTTGATGTAGCATTTCCACATGGCCTCTGGAAAAGTCAGATGACCTCAATTAGATCGCTAGTTCTCTTGGTTCAACTAACATTATACATCTTTTCTTCAAAGGGAAACTCCTCTGGAGAGGCAGGTGGATCTCTGTGAGTTCCAGGCCAGTCTAGTCTACATAGTGAGTTCCAGGCCAGCTGGGGCTACAGGAGTCAAAAAGACAAAAAAAAAAAAAAAAAAAAAAATTATTTCCACTACAGTAAATCAAACATACCAGACACTGGGGAAAAGCAAGTGTGCAGGACAGAAGGTTTTTTGAGTCTATGTCTAAGTTTACTGTCTCCTTTCCTTTTTCTTCTCTAATATTACAAAATAAAAATTAAATTTCTAATGACAGATGCTTACAAAATTATACTTAATCTTCTGAATTATAATCTCTTGGCTTTTTGTGGAGGTTTTTTGTTTTGTTTTTGCCTGTTGGTTTTTTGAGACAGTTTCATGTATCCCAGTGTGACCTCAAACTCACTATCTAGCCAAGGACAGCCTTCAACTTCTGACCCTCCTGCTTCTACCTCCCAATTACTGAGATTACAAACTTGGGCTACCAATTGATGTTTCTGTAGTGCTGGAGTTTGAACCCTGGGCTACACATCAGATTCAAGGCTAGCCTTGGACCTTTCTCAAAAAAAAGTTTGAGGTACAGTGACAAAATCATTGGGTTACCAAACCTGACAACCTCACTTGAATCCCTGGGTCCCACATGGTGGAAGAAGAGAACCAATTCTCATACCCTGTCCTCTGACCATTGCATGCACACCATGGCACACATACACATGCACACATATGCGTATACACAAATTAATTAAAAAAAAAATTTTAAGAAAGAGGGCTGGGCACAGTGGTGCACACTTTTAATCTCAGCACTCAGGAGGCAAAGGCAGAGGCAGGGCTGTGAACTCGGGGTCAGCCTGGTTTATGCAGCAAGTTCCAGGTCAGCCAGGGCTGCAGAGACCTTGTCTCAAGATTAAAAAAAAAAAGACAAAACAAGACGGGCGTGGTGGTGCATGCCTTTAATCCCAGCACTCAGGAGGCAGAGGCAGGCGGATCTCTGTGAGTTCAAGGCCAGCCTGGTCTACATAGTGAGTTCCAGGACAGCTGGGGCTACAGGGAGACCCTATCTCAAAAAGAAAGACCCAAAAAAAAAAAAGACAAACAAAAAGAGGGGCTAGAGAGATAGCCCAGGAGTTAAGAGCACTGGCTGCTCTTGGAAATGTTCCATTCCCAGCACCTAGATGGCAGCTAACGACTGTATGTAAACTCTAGTTCCAAGGGATCCAACACCTTCGCCTGGCCTCCACAGGCATTGTATACACAGCTACACCTACATCCATGCAGGCAAAACACTGATATACATAAAATAAAAATAAAATAAACTTTAAAAACAAAAAGAAAACCAGGCAAGGACACTGTAAATTATACCATACAGAGAATTCTCTTCCCTTTTTTCCTCCTCCAGTGCTGAGGATTGGGCTCAGGGCCTTGTGTGCTTCCTGGATTAAGTGCTCTACCACTAAGCTATATACCCCGTCCCCTGAACAGGAACTTCTCATAACAATTTAAGTGCTGACAATGAGAATGTCAGGGTTACATTAATGTATTATTACTCCTACACCACAAGATGGTTCAAAAAGCTCACCTGTAGGCAGAGTCTTCAATGCCTCTTCGTAGACTGCACAGCACCTTTCCTCCCTTCGGCCTACCTCCACTGCCCTTGCTTGTTTTGTTAGAGGCTGTTCTTCGCCTGGTTGGGACTCCATCTTTAATTCTTGCCGGGCCACATAATCCCAAGTGAAAGGGTCATCAGTGTACAGAGCCTGAAGGCTGAAAATTGTAGCTTATTGGCACCTGTCCCATGATAAGAGACTAATTCCTAAATAATAAGAGTTCCTATGGTCTAAAAAGGTAGACAGTACAACCTTTACAATTGCAGTACCATAAGAGCCATTTCCCAATAGGCTTTCCAGAATATCTTAACTTAATGTATAAATTAATCAACGGCATCAGTAGTTATCTGTGATCACAGAAGCCTCCATGAGTCGTGGAGAACATGGGCTCTTGAATTCCTATAACAGAGGCAGAGAAAAACACAACCAAAACTCTGATACTATCCAAAGGACAAACTGATGATGTACATTCTAGTTTGTCTCCTGTGAAAGAAACACATGGAACCTAACAACGTAACTCCCCACAAGGTAAGCACAAATAATTCTTAAATAACAGAATCAGAGAGTAAAGAATAAAAATACTCATCTGGAAGTTGGGTGGGGTAGAGAGTAGGGGGCGGTAGTCGGGGGTGGTGGGAGAAGGAGGAGGCGGCGAATCATTTATAAATGGCGCCCAAGCAAGACCCCAAGCCTAAATTCCAAGAGGGTGAGCGAGTGCTGTGCTTTCATGGGCCTCTTCTTTATGAAGCAAAGTGCGTAAAGGTTGCCATAAAGGACAAACAAGTGAAATACTTTATTCATTACAGTGGCTGGAATAAAAATTGGGATGAATGGGTTCCAGAAAGCAGAGTACTCAAATATGTGGACACCAATCTGCAGAAACAGCGAGAACTTCAAAAGGCCAATCAGGACGAGTGCTGTGCTTTCATGGGCCTCTTCTTTATGAAGCAAAGTGCGTAAAGGTTGCCATAAAGGACAAACAAGTGAAATACTTTATTCATTACAGTGGCTGGAATAAAAATTGGGATGAATGGGTTCCAGAAAGCAGAGTACTCAAATATGTGGACACCAATCTGCAGAAACAGCGAGAACTTCAAAAGGCCAATCAGGAACAGTATGCAGAGGGCAAGATGAGAGGGGCTGCTCCAGGAAAGAAGACATCTGGTCTGCAGCAGAAAAATGTTGAAGTGAAAACAAAAAAGAATAAGCAAAAAACACCTGGAAATGGAGATGGTGGCAGTACCAGTGAGACCCCTCAGCCTCCTCGGAAGAAAAGAGCCCGGGTAGACCCTACTGTTGAAAATGAAGAAACATTTATGAACAGAGTTGAAGTTAAAGTAAAGATTCCTGAAGAGCTGAAACCATGGCTTGTTGATAACTGGGACTTGATCACCAGACAGAAACAGCTGTTTTATCTTCCTGCCAAGAAGAATGTGGATTCCATTCTGGAGGATTATGCAAATTATAAGAAATCAAGGAGTATGCTGTTAATGAAGTTGTGGCAGGGATAAAGGAGTACTTCAATGTAATGTTGGGCACTCAGCTACTCTACAAATTTGAGAGACCACAGTATGCTGAAATTCTTGCAGATCATCCTGATGCACCCATGTCCCAGGTGTATGGAGCACCACATTTACTGAGATTATTTGTACGAATTGGAGCGATGTTGGCCTATACACCTCTGGATGAGAAAAGCCTTGCTTTATTACTGAATTATCTTCATGATTTCCTCAAATACCTGGCAAAGAATTCTGCAACTTTGTTTAGCGCCAGCGATTACGAAGTGGCGCCTCCTGAGTACCATCGGAAAGCTGTGTGAGCATTTGCTCTCACTGCTTGTGTTTGGATCAGTAAACACAGTTTGGTTCTTAGTCCTTCTCTTGTACAAACAATGTACTTTGAAGATGTTAGTGTAACAGAATTGCTGTTTGTTTTCTGTTTGATTTTAAACAGAGAAAATAAAAGGAGTCACTGCTCCTTTTCTCTTTTTTTCTCTTTTCTTTTTCTTCATTTCAAAATTTCTACCAGTGTACTCAGTGATGGACAACAGAGACATGCCGTAGAGCGTTTATTGCCTAGTTGACAAAGCTGCTTTTGAATGCTGGTGGTTCTGTTCCTTTGACACTACGCACTTTTATAATATGTGTTAATGCTATATGACAAAATGCTCTGATTCCTAGTGCCAAAGGTTCAATTCAGTGTATATAACTGAACACTCATCCATTTGTGCTCTTTTTTTTTTTTAAATGGTGCTTAAAGAGCCCATCCTTTGCAAGTCATCCATGTTGTTCTTTAGGCATTTTATCTTTGCTCAATTGTTGAAGAATGGTGGCTTGTTTCATGGTTTTTGTATTTGTGTCTAATGCACGTTTTAACACGATAGACGCAATGCATTGTGTAGCTACAGTTTTATGGAAAAGTAAATCTTGTAGGAGTTGTTTTTCAGATCTTCAATAAATGTTTTCTTTAAATTTCAAAAAAAAAAAAAATACTCATCTGTAAAGAGTTATGAATACCACTCTCATCTTGTGGACAAGACATGCAAGAAAGCAGGATGTAGATTTTGATATAAGCTTTAGTATGTGTTTATAAAATGCATTCTCTTCTGAAAGGAAGCCAGTAGCCAGGCAACTAATGCAAGAGCATATTCTCTCTACATGAAATACTGTTCAATTTGTCCTAAAGTTGTAACCAACCTCAAATCCTTATCACAAGACCAGAAACATGCATATATTTACCTTTCCATTGTTTTACTTACTCATCATAAATTTCTTTCTGTAGATCTTTGGCAAAGTCAAATAGTTGTGCAATTGAAAGAAGTGACACATGAAATTCTGCACCTAAAATTTTTAAAGTGAGGGGAAGGAGAGACTCACTGTCAGTTAGATGGTAAAGAATCATTTTACTCTAAAAGTATCATCTTCTTTATGTATAAGAGTTAGTCTTGGGCTGGAGAGATGGCTCAGCAGTTAAGAACACTGGTTGTTCTTGAAGAAGACTGGGGTTTGAATCCCAGCACCCATATGGCAGCTAACAACTGTCCGTAACTCCAGTTCCAGGGGATCCGACGGCCTCTGCGGGCATTGCACATGCAGGCAATACACGTACACACATAAAAATAAAAATAACTATTTTTTAAAAGAGTCTTTTGGAGGATTGTCTTATTTTGAGATTGTCTTATTTGAGGACTTCTCCATGTAGTCCTGCCTTCCCCCTGACGTTTTTCCCCCAATGCTAGGGATCAAACCTAGGTCCTTGCACATGCCAGGCAAGCACTTATCACTAAGCTCCCTCCCCAGCTCCAGGCTGGCCTCCAACTAATGATCCTCCTGTCTCAGCAGGTGCTGTGTGCCACCATATCTGTTTCTGTTTTCCTGGTACTAGATTGCACCATGGCCTCATGCGTATTCTACCACTGAGAAATACCCAATATCTGAGTTAGTAGTTTCTCGTCCTGGCTTTTTTGCGGGGGAGGGGGAGGGCTAAGAACAAAATAGAGAGGAACTATCATCCTATATCCCCACTATACAAGCAAAGGCATTATTATTTTGGAATATCTATAAATTTCATTCTAAACTTCTTAAGGACATGAGGAAAAAATTAAATAATTTATCTCTTTTCATCTCCCCCCAAATGAGCTTAATACTCAACAAAAGCATACTGAATGCTCAGTTAGACATTAGAAGCAAGCCTTTTCTGAAAGATACAGTATATTTTTGCTATAGACTTTTTAATTTTTAATTTTTTTTTGTGTCTGCAAGTATTTAAGTGTGCATGTATCATGCTATGCCTGCAGAGGTCAAGAGAGGGCATCAGAGCCCCGGAAGTGGAGTTACAGACAGTTATTAGCCACTATGTAGGTGCTGAGAACTGAACCTGGGTCCTCAGTAAGAGCAGCCAGTGCTCTTAACTGCTGAGCCATTCCTCCAGTCCCCCTACAGACTTTTATATACTCTCTAGTAGAAAATTTCAAAATTAGCTAACAGTCCTTATTATAAATAAACATTTCCTTTTTCTACCACAAATATATATCCAAAAGATACCTACCTTTAATCTTGCTTACAGAATTTTTGTAAATGATCCGTGCCAACTCGCCCTTAAGGATTTCTTCAGGATGATCAAAATTCCCCTACAAAGTATTATAGCAATCCTGACTGAAAAGGTAGCAGCAGCAAATTAAAAAAGCACCAGAGTGAAAATTAACAGCCCTAACTACTGTGCTACAGAATCTCTGTCAGATCACAGCTCTCCAGACCAGTTCCCTCACTTGTAACATGTGAAGCTTCAACATCACTATCTTCCAGCATTTCTCAGGTTCCTGGAGTGGTGGCAAGATCACAAGGCATAACTCACACTCCATTTAGACTAGAACAGATCAGCCATTACATGCCTTCATTATCCTTCTACATAAGATTTGGTGTTTTTGTTGGTTTTTTTTTTTTTTAAAAAAAAAAAAAGGTGGATACAAGAGGACTGGGGAGCTAGCTCTGTTGGTAAAGTAGACTCAAGTCTAGATCCTCAACTAGGTACGGTAGCATGTGCCTGAAATCAAACTGCTAAGGAGGCAGAGGCAAGAATCACTGGGGCCTGTCTCTGCCTGCTGGCCAGCTAGCTTTTAAACTGGAAAGCTCAAGGTTCATTAAAAGACCCTGTCTCAAAAAATAAGGTGGAAGTAAGGCAGGGTGGCACATGACTTCAACCCTAGCACATGAGGCAGAGACAGAGTTCCAGGCCAGCCAGGGCTGCATAGTGAGACTTGTCTCAAAAAAAAGATTATAGATTAAAAGATAATAATACTAAGAACATGTAGAGTAAAAGCAAAATGGCTCAATGAGTAAAGGCTTTTGACACCAAGACCTGAGTTGATTCCCTATAACCCAGAAGGGGTTGATAAAAGAGGACTGACTCCAATTGTCTCTGATCTCCGCACACTTACTCTGCCTCTTACGTGTTGGGATTACTGGTGTGCACCACTGAATCACACAATCTTAAAGAAGAACACTTGGGCATTCCATCAGTGTTACGTAGCTGTTTCCTCAAGGTTGGATCATTACCTCATGACAGGAGTCAGAAAGCTCACAAGACCTCTCCCTAGGATTATATAAGCAATAAACAGCTGCTGAAGAAGAGGAGACTCTTCTGTGAGGTAGCTGTTGCAAGTCGCTCAGAATACTCCGATACTGCAGCATTTGTGAGTTGTATGGAAGGTAGAGATTCTCCCAATGAGGAAGGTAGGGCTTTTCTTTGATACAGCTACTTTCATGCAATAATCAACTCACTCATTCTCCTGTAAGTAATCCCACATTAAGCTCTTACCATATCCATGGAAGCTTTTTCAAATTCTTGCTTTTCCTTTCTTAATTTCTCTGCATGCATCAACTCCATCCTAAAGTACTACAAAAGGAAATAATGACTTAAAAATCCTTTGAGATATTTTTTCAATTAGAAATACTCAAAATGCCTTTAAAAAAAAAAAAAACAAAAAACAAATATAATGGGGCTTGAGAGATGGCTCAGGAGTTAAAAGAGCAATGGCTGCTCTTGCAGAGGACCTGGATTTGATTCCCAGTACACACATGGCAGCTAACAACCACCTGTAACTCCAGTTCCAGAGGATCTCATGTCCTCTTCTGACCTCCATGGGCAATGCATGACACAGGTGCACTTACATGCAGGCAATACACTCATACACATAAAATAAAAATGATTTATTTTTCTTTAAATGTGGTGGACCAACAAGATGGTTCAGTCAGTAAAGGCATGTCACACAAGCCTGACAGCCTGAGTTCCATCCCTGGGACACACATAAAAGTGTAAGGAGACGGGCGGGAGAAACGGCTCAGCAGTTAAGAGTACTGACTACTCTTGCAGAGGACCTGGGTTCGATTCCCAGCACCCACATGGTGGCTACGAACCATCCTTAACTCCAGTTCCAGGGGAATTCAAAGCCCTCTTCTGACCTCTGCCTCATTGCACGACACGGGTGCACTCACATACATACAGGCAATACATTCAGACACATAAGATAAAAATAATAAATAGCCGGGAGTGGTGGCTCACGCCTGTAGTACCAGCACTTGGGAGGCAGAGGCAGGCAGATCTCCGTGAGTTCAAGGTCAGCGTGGTCTACATAGTGAGTTCCAGGACAGCTGGGGCTACAGAGAGACCCTGTCTCAAAAAGACAAAAAAAGAAAAAAAAAACAAAAAAACCAACTAAATAAATAAATAAATAAAAGAAGGTGGAAGGTGACAGAGTAAGCCACCCGACATTGACCTTTTACGTCCACATGTGTGTGCACATGCACACACACATATACACAAAAGAATTTAATTTAAAAACTGAGTAAGGAAAATGTCATATTCTAATGTTTATTCTACTTTATTTAAAACTAGCAACAAAATTTTACACAAAATAAAATTGCCACTATGTGAAAAGGTGCACAGGAGAAAAAAAGAAGCATATCACATCAACATCTGTCCTCCTGTCATCATGAGACACCTCGCTCTCACTCTACATGCAGAGATACTCACTTCTTGATAGAGTTTCGGGCACTCAGGATGAAAGCGAAGAGCCCGAAGAAATAGCTGTCTGGCACTTTCTGAAGACAAGCGATCTTCCATTTCCCATTTGGCTGCCATAATCCACAAAGCTATAGGTGAAAAAACATCAGACTTTATTTCAGCAAATTCATCAAATGAGGTTTAAAAAAAAAAAAAAGACAACTTTAATATTTAATGTATTGTTTTAAACCTTATCAAAGAGAAAGAAAATGGACTAAGGGACTAGTCTTATTGTTCTATTGCTCTAAAATTAGAAAGAGGGCCAGTGGGTCTTGAGAGATGGCTCAGCAGTTAAGAGCTCTTGCTGTTCTTCCAGAGGATACAAGTTTAATTCCCAGCACCCACATCTGGCAGCTTACAACCACCTATAACTCCAGCTCCAAGGGATCCAACACATTCTCTTGGCCTCCATGAGCACCCATACATACATGCACATACCCATATACAGACATGCAGACGTAGAGAGAAATAAAAAAAAAATTTTCTTTTAAATCTTTAAAAATGAAAGGAGCAGCCAGGTATGGCGGTGCACACCTTTAATCCCAGCACTCCAGAGGCAGAGGCAGGCTGATCTCTGTGAGTTCAAGGCCAGCCTGGTCTACATAGTGAGTTCCAGGACAGCTGGGGCTACAGGGAAACCCTGTCTCAAAATGACCAAAAAAAAATTGAAAGGGGCAGCAAGATGGCTCAGCAGGTAAACGTGCTTGCCACCAGGCCTGAAAATTTGAGTTCAATCCGTGGGGCCCACACGGTAGAAAAGAACTGACTTCTTCAAGTTCTCCTCTGACTTCCACAAGCATGCATGCACACAGACATACCAAATAAATTAAATAAATAAATGTATTTTTTTTCATTGCAAAGAGAGGGCTGGAGGGACTGGAGAGATGGTTCAGTAGTTAAGAGCAGTTTCTCCTCTTCTAGGACCTGAGTTCAGTTCCCAGCACCCATGTCAGATAGCTCACAACTGCCTGTAACTCCAGCTCCAGGGAATCTGATACTCTTTTCTGGAAGGTGTGGGCATACACACACACACACACAACACAAGGCAACACTCAAAGATATACACGCATATAAGTAAAAATTAAAGAAAAAGTAAAAGAAAGGACTGGGCACACAACTCGGAGACAGAGCATTTACCTAGTATACACAAGGCCCTGGGTTTAGCCCCCAGTACAGCAAAAAGATGAAACAAACTAAGGGAGCCAGAGGTAGTGACACATATCTTTTTATTTTAATTTTATTTATTTCTATTTTATGTGTATTAGTGTTTTGCCTACATGTATATAAGTGTGCCCCTGTCATGCAATGCGCACAGAGGCCAGAAAAGGGTGTTGGATCCCCTGGAACTAGAGTTATGGACAGTGGTTAGCCACCATGTAGGTGCCAAGAACTGAACTTGGGTCCTCTACAAGAGTAGCCAGTGCTCTTAACAACTGGGTCATCTCTCCAGCCCCTGGTACATACCTTTAATCCTAGCATAGGCAAAATCAAAAAAAAAAAAAACAAGCAAACAAACAAAAGACATAAAATTAGAATATTCTAATAGGTAAATGCTAGCATCTGTTCATTCCGAAGGACAGGTACATGAGAACTCACTACTATATTTCATAAGATCCAAGAACAACATCATTATAAGTCTTATACAAATGGGGAGGGGGTCTTTTTGAGGCAGGGTCTCCCTGTAGCCCCAGCTGGCCTGGAACTCACTATGTAGACCAGGCTGGCCTTGAACTTACAGAGACTCACCTGCCTTTGCCTCCCAAAAGGCGTGCGCCACCTCACCTGGCTAAGTCATATACAAATTTTAAAAGTGTTAGTGCTGGAGGAAAAAAATGTGTATCTTAGGGCTGATAAGATGGCTCATCAAGCACACATACACTAAATAAATGTAACAAAAAGGTGTGTCTTAGAACCAATAAAATATTTTTGCACTCCTCTATATTTAGAATTGTTCATAATTTATTTTAAAAATGCTTTCTCTTTCTATATCAGAAATTGGCCCCAAGTTAATACTCTAACTATATCCCAAAGAGCTCAGTAAAATAATTTACCAAGCAAACCTGCTTTTGGTAAAAATGAGCCCTGATCAGTAACTACACCTGGACTCTGTAGGAGGGTCACAAATAGTGGCAAGTCATTTGTGCTAGATAGCTTCAGTTGTCACTATGACACACTGGAGTTAAAAGGAACCTCAAATGAGGAATCTCCTCCATTGGATTAACCTGTGGCCCTATCTGTGAGACATTTTCATTGTTGAGTGATATGGCAGTGCCACCCCTGGGCACATGGTCCCAGGTTATATAAGAAAGCAGGCTCTTCGAAAGCCTGAGGAACAAGCCAATAAGAAGAGTGTCTCCATGATCTGCCCTGCAGTTGCTGCTTCCAGGTTGCCGCCCTGAGGCCACGCCTGACTTCCCTCAGTGTTCATGAACTGTGTGTTGGATATGCAAGATGAAATAAACCCTTTGGTTTTGGTCAGTATTTTAGCACAGCAATAGAAAGGAAATTGAACACCACTGCCTTGGGCTTTCTTAAGCATGTGACTCCTGAAATTGAGCATGAATCTTTCTAGAATCTCTTACACCCATGGGGCCTCTAAGCCAAAGCGGTACCCCAACCCACTCATGTAGTTTCATCTCCTGACATCTGAACAAAAAATCATATTGCCTTTAAGAACTAGAGACTGGCCCCAAATCGCTAAGATACCCTGCTAAAGAAAGAAACCTAATGCTGTCTTGCTGTATCCTTCTACAAGTAAACTGATGCCAACTGTAGCCTAGTTGAGTGTCATGTAGTTGAAATGTCTGGTTGAGCCTACAATGAGAATAATGGAAGCACCTCTACTAGAAAACAGCATACCAAACATTCCTTGCTCACAAGAGAAATCTTTCTCTTATAAAATCTGAGTACCTACTCTATGTCTGTCAACCTTATAAATCTGTGTTTTCTTGTTCAAACTTGTGAAGTCACTCAGAATTTACTGACTCCAAATAAAATGTCCCTCAAAGGACTGGTGAGTTTATTTTCCATCAACTAAAAAGAAATACAGTCCTCCTTGTCCATAAATACAATACATGGCACAGTAACTAGTAGCGCACAGTAAGCAGGGATAAACTAAGAGGCAGCTGATACTCAGCAACAAAAATCACCAAGGCCAACTGTCTACACTCAAGTCCTCTAAAGGACTTCTCTTAGGTTCATCAAGCAAGATAAATTCCAAAGTGGCTTGAGTTTACATAAAATGTAGGAAAAAGAACTGATGAGGAGTTTAACATACCTGGCTTGTTTGAATGAATGGCCAGCATGGCAGAGAATACCTTGCTAATTTGAGCCTTGGTACCCTGTAAAAGAGGAAGAAAAAATTCTACTTCCTGCAGAAAGAAATCTATACTATATTCTTATACAGATTCTAAATCTGTACTATATTCTTATTAATTATAAAATCTAATGGGGAGGCTGGAGAGATGGCTCAGCAATAAAGAACACTGACTGTTCTTGCAGAAAACTTGGGTTTGAATCCCAGCACCCACATGGCAGCTAACAACTGTCAATAACTCCAGTTCTAAGGGATCTGACAGCCTCTTCTGTCCTCCTCGGGCACTGCACGACACGGGTGCACTTACCTACATGCAGGTAATACATGCATACATATAAAACAAAAATAACATTTTTTTTTTTTTTTTGGTCTTTTTGAGACAGGGTCCCCCTGTAGCCCCAGCTGACCTGGAACTTACTATGTAGACCAGGCTGGCCTCGAACTCACAGAGATCTGCCTGCCTCTGCCTCCCAAGTGCTGGGATTAAAGGTGTGTGCCACCATACCCGGCTAATAAAATATTTTTTAAAAATAAATAAATAAAAGTAAAAAATAAAATCTAATGGGGCAAGGTGGAACATAGTGGTGCATGCTTTTAATCCTAGCACTAGGGAGGCAGAGGCAGGAAGATCTCAGTGAGTTGGAGGCCAGACTGGTCTACATAGTGAGTACCAAATCAGCAGGTTGCATAATGAGACCCTATTTCAAAAAAAAAAAAAAAGAGGCTGGGGCTGAAGAGACGGCTCAGCAGTTTAGAGCACCAGCTGCTCTTGCAGAGGACCTAGATTCAATTCCCAGCACCCACATGGTGGCTAACAACAGTCTGTAACTCCAGTTCCAGGGGATCAGATGCCCTCTGCTGACCTCTGCAGGAACTGCAAGGCTTGGGTGCACTTACATACATGCAAGCAAATATACTCATACAAATAAAATATTTTTTTAATATTTTATTATTTTTATTTCATGTGTATGAGTGTATTGCCTGCATGTACGTGAGTGCACCCATGTCGTGCAGTGCTGCGGAGGTCAGAAGAGGGCGTCGGATTCCCCTGGAACTGGAGTTAAGGACAGTTTGTAGCCACCATGGGGGTGCTGGGAATCGAACCCAGGTCCTCTGCAAGAGCAGTCAGGGCTCTTAACTGCTGAGCCGTCTCTCCAGCCCCCAATAAATACTTGCAGATTAACAGAAATAGAAGAAGCAACAAGACATAGCTCTACTTACCCATTTCTTACAAAAGACTACATAGGACAGCCAAAGTTGAACATCATCCTGCAACAAAAGCACATGATGAGCTGCTTGCATTATCCCTACAGTTCTTTAATTCACTTAGCTGAGAACAGAGGCAAATTTCAAAAGATCCAATGTCTTACATACTTTAGCGAGTGAGGGTTTTCCCACTAAAGTCCTGGATCCCTTAACCATGACAATTAACTGACGTTCCACTTCCACCCACCATGCTCCAAGACAAAATCTTTGTCTATCCATCTGTCCAGTGCAGTACTGAAAATTTCTCAAATCAGATAAAGAAACACAAAATTTACATTCTCAGAAATCTAAAGCACTTCCCATATATATCCAGTCCCTAGTCAAACTTGAGCATCAAGTTACTAAGATGCTGCCCCACCTCCAAGCCTTCAGAGTATTTTACTTAGAGCTATTCAACCATCTCCCTAGTGACTTTCTTTACTTCTCTTTTTTGTTGACAGTGTCTCACGTACCCCTAGCTGGATAGTCCTCCGCAAATACAATACTCGACACAGTAACTATTAGTACACAAAAGTAGGGTTGAACTAAGAGTAGGAAATTCAACAAAAACCACTGAAGCCAACTGTCTAAGCTGTAAATCTTGAATTTCTGACCCTCCTGTCTCTACCTTCTGAAAGCTGGGATTACTGGCATGTGTAACCAGACTAGTTTCATGCAGCTCTGGGATTGAACCCAGGGCTTCCTGTGTGTTAGGCAAGCACTCTGTCAATTGAGTAATATCCCTGACCCTTTTAAAATTTTCTTTTGATTTTCTAAACCTTAATATGTTAAATACAGTTCCAGTGCCATCCTCACAGAATAACAATAAAATAGTAAGATCAACTTACTTTCTTTTTTGAACTTTTTTTTCTTTTTTTAATGTGTATGAGTGTATTGCCTGCATGTATGTGAGTGCACCCATGTCGTGCAATGCCGTGGAGGTCAAAAGACGGCTTCAGATTTTCCTGGAACTGGAGTTAAGGATGGTTCGTAGCCGCCATGTGGGTACTGGGAATCGAACCAGGTCCTTTGTAAGAGCAGTCAGTGCTCTTAACCACTGGGCCATCTCTCCAGCCCCTCTTTTTTGAACTTTTTAAGACAAGGTCTTCCTGTAGCCCCAGCTGGCTGGAACTATGTAGACCTCTGCCTCCCAACTGCTGGGATTAAAGGTGTATACCACCACTGGCAAGATCAACTGTACTAATGGTTTATATGGCTCAAAAACTATTTCAGGGGCTAGAGAGATAGCTCAGCAGTTAAGAACACTAGTTGTTCTTGCAGAAGACCCGGATTCAAATCCCAGCACCCACATGGCAGCTAACAACTGTCCATAACTCCAGTCCCAGGGGATCCAACAGCCTCTTCTGACCT